ATATTACTTCCAGTTTTTATTACAGCATTTATTATATGTTCTGCTGTTCCGTCAGTTGTGACTCCAATATATTTCATCTGTTTATGGTTTATTTTACATTGTCGAAGGAATATATTGTATAGGTTGTTATCAGGTGCAGGTTGTATTAATGGTGCAAGCATGGGCTTGTAATTTTGTTGTATGCCTTCTCTCTTTTCAGGAGTGTGGTAATGTTGTTTGTGCTTCTTAATTTTTGCAAATAATTCAATAGATTGTTTAGTTACTTGGTCGGGCTCATTTTGTTTGAGAGAATTGTTTATTCAGTTGGGCTTTGTCTTCTTTTTTTGTAGTAATCGGTTTACTTGGTTGGTCTTGTTATAGTTGAGACTATGTGAATCTGGCAGGTGTTTACTATGGTTGGGCGCCTTCTCTCTTTTTCTCGCTACTGCGTTATGCTCAGCAGGTGAATAACATTTCGCAAGCAGGTCAGGAACTAGTGTACCAGGTCTCGTGCTCAAGTCTAAAATTATCTCACTAGAGTGAACCACAGTAGATACACTATAACCTGGCAATTTTTGTTTAGAGGTTAGCTTCCTCTGATTGATTATAGGTTGATTGTGTATGAGTATGAGCTTTTGGTCATTGTCTTTGAGTATTCTAAGTTGTTTTTAGAGCTTATTAGAGAATATGATATAGTCGAAGTCTTTACTGAGTATGTCTATTTTTATATTTTCAAATAAGAGGTCATTTATTTTTATATCAATGGTTGCTTTTCCTAATAGTTTTACTTGTGATCCTACTGTGTTAGCTATAGCAGGTTTGTATTTATATTTTAGTTTAGTTTTTGCTTTTAGTTCCTTAAAGTGTCGTATTCTCATTGTAGTGTTAGTAGATCCTTCATCTAGTTTTATTTCATATGGTAATCCGTTTATTTGTGCAAAGAAGTAGAATGCTTTAGGTCCTTTTGCTTGCAGTGGTATTTTATTAGTTTCTTTTGTCCAGATTAGTTCATTAGTGGCAGAGTAGTTATTTACTTTATTTATATGGTCTTTGTTT